TCAGGCGGCTGTTTCTGCCACAAGAAGCTTTGCGCCACGGACTGAAAATGAGCTGGGGTGTTTCACGGCTGGGAGCCCCGTCCCAAGAACAGGTCCTGGACCTCTGAGCCACCTTTCCTGCAAATCTGTTTTCCTCCTCCCAGGAAACTATTTCTACTTAAGCCTGCCGGCCAACTCTGACAAGCCCCACGCTGATGCCGAGAGCATCGGGGAGCCAGCTGATCCTTTGAGACGGGCACCATCCTCACCTCCCGCCATGCCTTTGCCCGGCTGCCAGGAGAGCAGCACCAGGGAGACCCCGGCAGGGTGGCTTAGCAGGCTGCCAAGCGCGGCAGAGCTCCCTCGATCTAGCCAAGGCATTCAAGATTTGGATGTGATCTTCCAGACAATAGACCAACTCATGCTGAAGCTGACCAAACTCAAGGTGAGGCGGGATGCGTGAATGAGACAGCGGATGGGCACGTTGAATGCCCAGAGTGGAGATGGGAGGCAGGGAGAGGTCCTAGCTGCCCCTTACTCCACCCTTGCAGTTCTCTCCTCTTCTTGCAGGACATGGAAGGGGCCTACCAGCGGCTGCTGCTCCTGCAGCAGTCACCGAGGGGGGACTCTGCCACCGAAGCCATGCCCGGGCAGGGAAGCATGTCGCCAGAGGCGAGCCAGATGTCGCCCAGCAGCCACCGGGGGTCCAGAGGCAGCCACCACTCCCTGCCCACCTCCCCACAGTACCCGGTGGCCGCCGAGCCTGGTACGAGGGCCTGAGGGTCCCGGTGCTCCATCCTTGCCCGTTGTCTGCCCGGGGTGACCGAAGCCATTGTCTTTGCAGACCTGAATGGGCTTTCTCTCGCCCCCCCTGAAGATAGCTCCCAGGAAGTGACCCTGTAGGGCAAGGAGGGCCTCTGCGAAGGAAGGAAGGAAGGAAGGAAGGAAGGAAGGAAGGAAGGAAGGAAGGAAGGAAAACGCGCCTCCAGGTGACGGCTCCTTGCCCTCCCACCCGTCCCCGGGTTTGCTAAAGGTGGGAGGCGGCCACGGATGGGACCAGCAGCTGCCAGTACGAGAAATGGTGAAACCAAGAAGGAAGCAGAGAAAACTGGAATCCCGCCGTGTTTGAAAGCCCCTGCATTGGCTTCACGTGAACTCTTTTATGAAAACATCTGGAGGTTTCCCCAACTGGAGCTTTTGCTAGAGTGAGAGCGAGCCGACTCTCTCAGCTCTTTCCCCTGAAACATAAGGAGCCTGTGTGGGTCTCTCTGCTGGCCCACTTTAGGGTTCGGCTCTCCATTTTCCCCCGAGAGGAATCCATGGCGTGCGTGCACGCTTGTGTGAACGTGAGAGATGTGTAGATATACACACACCCTGCAGACTTGCTTTTCCACTGTACATGACAGCTGGAATATATTCTGTATAATTGCACTTTTTTTGGTTTTCCTTTACGTTTCCTCTCCACGGTGAGGAAAATCTCACCGGGGAGGCCCCGGCTGCTTCCAGACCTTTTCGTTGGATATAAATATGTATGTATGTGCATTGAGTTTTTGTAAATATGATAGACGGTTGTTTCCCTGTGGTTGGTTTTTTTTTTTACTTGTCTCCATGCCGATTTCCCCTCTTGCTGAAGGGTTTGGTCTGATGGGGGGCAAGTCTGGGGCTGAGAAGACCCCCGGCCCTGTCTGCTGTGCTGGGTGAAGCAGCAAGGGGCTGCCAGGCTCCCACTGAGGCAACAGACCCCAGGAAAGGCCGGCTCTCCTCGCTCTCAGTTGCGAGTTGTCATGGGACCCCTTCCCAGTCCTGGAGTTTGTGGCACGTGCTGCGCCAGTTACAGTGCAGGTAAAAGGAGGTGGAAGGACGCCATCTCTTCCTGTGGGCTTGCTGAAAGCCCATTTTATTTTATTGCTTTTAGCGGTGAAAGATTTTTTAAAAAGAAAAAAGTAAAATATTCTTCAACCTCTTGCATGCGAGAGAGGCCTGTTTTTCCATTCAAAAGCGACTGCTGCTTTTTTGTTGAAAAGCAAAGATGCCAACTCTGGAGGGCAGGGGGCGGAAAGGAGGCAGGCTAGGCCCCAGGAAGGCTAGCGGGCCTACCCTTGGATCCGGATCATCCAGCCAGAGAGGAAGGGCGTGCGTGGCTGAACTAGGAGGTCCCTCTGATACCACCATGTCTAACACGTTTTTTTCACTCTCAAGATAAAAAAGCTAATTTCAGGGTTTCTTGCATGGCTTTTAATGGGCAGGATAAAAACTCTCTTTCCAGCTTTGCAGGGACCAAGCTGGCGAGTGGGGCTTCTCTTCTGCGCTCCTGAATTTGTCCTGGGGGAGAGGCCAACCTGCTGGAGTTGCCTGCTGGTTGGACTATAGAGCTTTCCGGTGCAGGATCCGCAGCGAGAAGTCGGGCTTGGCCACAGGCAGGGCTCACTGGGCAGCTGTGAGCAACTCCTCCTCCGCCTTGGGGGCCTTGGGGAGGGGATCCCGGGGTGCCATGAGCTCCTGGATCCTGCTGTAGGTCTTGCTCTCGGCCGGGAAGTTGTTTTTCTGGGAGGGTCGACGTGGAGCGTGAGGACCCCGAGGGGTGGCAAGGGTCAGGGTTGAGGACTCCTGGTGGTGTGGGGGGCCTGCCCGCCCCCTCTGTTTGGGGCAGAGCCTTCCGGCAGGGGACTCACCGCCAGAGAGAGGCGCAGGAGGCCAGTTGGTCCCTTCCCCCCGGGAACCACCCGGCTGACTTGGTACTCCACCGTGGCCAGAAAGGCCTTCAAGCCAGTTTCCGTGATGCGGTTGCCTTCAGGAGACGAGGATGAGAGGGTGATGCTTTGGGACAAGCTCCTTCTTCCATCTTGGAGCCATGGGAATGCCAGGGGCTGCTGAGGTGTCCCCCACCCCCCAAGATGCACTCCCCAACGTACGGATGAGGTTCAGGTAGATAAGAACGCGGTTCCCCTGAAGGAAAACCTGCCCGTCGCGGTGCTCTGCTGGTTCCAGGAGGGGGTTCATCATCTCGGTGGGCTCCAGGATCTGCTGGAGGGGCAAGCCAGGAAGGTATGGCAGCCAGAGGAGTGGGGGCGAGGAGGGGTACAGCTGCATGGCCACTGAAGATTCTGACCAGGGCAACCTCGTTTGCAGAGGACGGGCAGACCTTTGTCTTGGCACCCAGGATGGGGTACCGGCACCCATGCTGGCCCAGCCAGGAGCTGGGACCCGGGGCATTGGGTGGGGGGCCTCACCTCCACTTCCAAGATCTGGCTCCGTTTGTCCTTGGAGCTCAGCTTTGTTCCTTTGCCCCGAATGGCTTTTGACTCAACAGGGGGGACGGCTGCAGAAAGCAAAGCAGAGCTCAGGGCTCTTGGGGGGAAGCCCAACACCCGGGGAGGGGGAGGCAGCATGGTGGCCCAGCAAGAACCTTTTTTCGACTGCTTGGCGTCTTCCTTCTTGGCCTGAGCTGTTGCTGCTGTCGCTGCTGCCGGAGGCTGCGCTGGAGGGGCTCCGCTCGCCTGGCCCTTCTCCTCCTTCTTGGCGGGTTCCTGGAAGAGGCCAAACACTGGTCTCTGCCTGCTGGGGTGCTCTGTCCCCTGCCTTTCTGCCAGGGGGCTGAACCGGCTGGCAGTGGCTAAAAC